CCACTTACCATACCATGACTGACCTCGCTACATGCTCAACTGGGATGTAACAACAGCCAACCCCAAGCTCATGTGATGATAGAAAATGTGTCCTCCTACCTACCCACCAATGTTGAAGTGAAGTCATTAGGCTAGGCTCTAATCCAGTGTGACTGGCATCTTTAGCAGAAGAGATTTGGGTACAAACATAACTAGAGGGAAAACAATGTAACACAGGAAGAAGACATCCTCTCCAAACCGATGAAAGAAGCCTTCACTAGCTCTCCCTTCAAGGCCCTCAGCGGAAACCAATACTGCTGACACTTTTGGTCTTGGGCTTCTAGCCTGAAGAAACAGGAGCTAGCTAGTTTCTGTTGAGTAGGTCTGGTACTTCATTACCATAGCCCAGCAAGCTCACACAGCCCCTGACATGGCATTATTCCTCAAGGCTACTTGGTGACACTTTCTGTCTTAGAAGGTTATGCTGGCTAGTTTTAAGTCAACTTGACACAAGCTAGAGTCATCAGAGAAGAGGGAGCCCCAACTGAGAAAAGTCCTCCATAAGATCCAGCTGTAAGGCATTTTCTTAATTAGTGATCAATGAGGAAGGGCCCAGCCCATTGTGGGTGGTGCCACCCCAGGGCTGGTCAACCTGGGTTCTTTAAGAAAGCAGGCTGAGCAAGTTACAGGGAGCAAGCCAGTAAGCAGCACCCCTCCATGGCCTCTGCATTAGCTTCTGCCTCTAGGTTCCTGCCATGCTTGAGTTCCTGCCCTCATTGCTTTTAATGATGAATTTTGTGTGGAGCTGTGAGTGAAATAATTCCTTTCTTCCCCAAGTTGCGTTTGGTCATGGGGTTTCATCACAGCAATAGTAATGCTAACTAAGGTCATGCCTTCATTCTTGTGGAGAAAGGTAATAGTTATTCAGAGTATGGGACCTGCCTTTCCTGATGAGAGGTTCCTCATCAGCACCACTATCCAGAAGCTTAGAGAACAACTAGTCCATAGATTCTCTCACGTGCATCTTACGTACACAGCTGTCGTCCTAGTCAGTGTACTACTGCTGGGAAGAGACACCATGACCAAGGCAACTCTTATGAAAGAAAGAATTTAATTGGAGGCTTGCTTACAATTTCAGAAGCTAATTCTGCTATCATCATGGCAGGGAGCACAGCAACATGCAGGCAGGTGCTGGAGCAGTAGCTGAGAGCCACATCCTAATCTGTAGGCAGAGAGAGTGCCTAGGCCTGGCATGGGCTTTTGAAATCCCAAAGCCCACCCTAGTCTCACACTTCCCCCAACAAGGCTATACCTACTCCATTAAGGCCACACCTACTAACCTTTCTAATCCTTTCAAATAGTGCCACTTCCTGGTGGCTAAGCATTCAAATATATGACCCATGAAGGCCATTCTTACTCAAACCACCAGTGCTTTCACAGGCCACTGACATGTGATCCATTAGATTCATCATACAAAAGCATCCACATTAGTGAGTCTCGGAGGCTTCTATAGGCACAGCTGAAGGATGGGTGTCATGCATTACAGGCATTAAATAAAAGATCTCAGTATGTCACTGAATCCTCAGTAGATGAACACACTATCAGAGAACCAGGAGTAGACTCAGGAGTGGCCCCATTTACCATTATTCCTATGCATGCACCACAGGACTGATTGTCTGTTTTCTACAGCTATTGTAACCATATTTGAGAAGGGTGAGGCTTTATCATCACCAGACAAACCACAAAGTTCTGCAGAAATGATAACTGAAAGTGAAAGGAATTGTAAGCGGATAGAGAAGAGGGAGATGGTAAGAATTAATTAATCTCTATTGCTGCCCTAACAGACATAATTGGTCCCGTGTGTGTGTGTGTGTGTGTGTGTGTGTGTGTGTGTGTGTGTGTGGTGTGTAAACATGGGAAAACCAGAGACACACCTTGGGTACTGTTTCTCAGACTGGATCTCTCACTGAAATCTAGGCCACCATTTTCTATGTGGGTGCTAGGGATCCAACTGGGGTTCTCTGATTGCATGCCAAGCACTTTACAGGTTGGGCTATCTCCCCAGCTTGTAATCAGTTCTGATTGCCTTCTAATGTTCACCCCAGCAACAGAAACCAACACAGCTATAGAGAAGTTGAATATGTATGAAGGAGTACAGTTGTGAGCATGAAGTTGGATGGTTGAAGGCATGAGGATCCATCACTCATTGTCCCTTCAAGAGACAGCCTGCTGTGAGGACTACAATTTACCGACAGTCTTCAACCTCTTTATTCACACTCAACCTCAGTGTTCATGCTAAGACCACTCGCTCCCCAAAGGTCTCCTAGCCAAAGACTGATGATGTTAGAAATTAGAAAGCCAGGTCATTTTCTAGCCAGTATGGACCTCTCTCGGGGCAGGCCCCGGCTGGAAACACCAGTAGGTTCTCAGAACGGCATTGCAGTCTTCGACTCGTCCTGAAGTCCTCTTTCCTTCTTTTCCCTTCCATGAACTAAAGGTTCTCCTTAACTAACTCCTGCCTCTTGACCGCTCCATCTTTCCCAGAAGTCATAGCCAACAAATCTCTGGCACCTCTAATGCCTTCTTGGCATCTGCTTCCCAGGGGTCTGACTCAACAGGTCAGCCTTCCATATTGGGATGAACAAGGACCCTGGAGCTTATATGGCTTGAAGGAGAGAAGTGAAACAGTCAGAAATGTGCTTCTAAACAAACAGGGACTGTGACTTTCCTATAGGTACACTGGAAAGAGATGAGCACCCCAAAAGAGAGCAGAGGAAAAGAGCGTGGAGCCCTCCCAGTCTCCTTTGCTGCCATCTCCCCATATCTAGACGTCTGAACAGTGAGCAATCTTGGGCTCAGCCCTTGAATACTTCAATTCTTCTTTAACGAGACTGCTAGTTAAAGAGTATTATGGACTTCTAGGACTTTTTTGTGGAGATGCTGAAGACTCAAATTTATATGACAGGTCATCAATATTATAAGATCTGTGCTTCAAAGGATACAATCGGGAAAGAAAAGACAAGCCACAGTATAGGAAGAAATGTTTGGGATTCCAGTATCAGCTAAGGACTTCCATCCAGAGTATTCAAGGAAACCTTTCTTCTCAATACTAGACAGACACACAACCCAAATGAGACAAACAGGCAAGTAATTTAAATAGCTATTTCCTCTAAAGTAGATATACAAGTGACCTTCAAGAAAAATGAAAAATGTTCAAAATCCTTGCTCACTGGGGAAAAGCAAACCAAAACCACAATAAGATTTCTACTTCCCATTCACTAGCTGGGATGTGTAGTAACGCCTGTTGATCACCAGAAGAAACCAGAGTGCTCAGCTATTGCTGACGAGACTGTGAATGGTTTAGCTGTTTAAAAAGTACTTTGGCTCTTCCTGAAATTATCAAAGTGTGCTATGACCCAACCTTCCTCTCCTAAGTACACCCAAGAGAACAAAACACACAGATTCACACAGCAACTTGTATGTAAACATTCCCAAGAGCTTTAATTGGAAATGACTTGAAGGTCCATGGAGTAATAAACAGATGAACTAAACACAGTAGAGTATTATTCCCCATAAAAAGGGATGGATTCTTGATGTTCGTGAGTGGACCTTAAGAACATTGTACACTGGATGACAGGCTGGCTAATATGTCTGCCTGGCATTTATGTGGGTACTGGGAATCTGAACTCCAGTCCTCACACTGTACAGCAAATTCTTCATCCACTGAGCCATCTCCCTAACCCCTACCATTGTCTTCTTATGGGTCAGACTCTAATTCCCCAGAACTTAATGCATTGAAGTTCTAATCTGCAGTGCCTCTGACTATGCCTGAATGTGACTTTAGAGGCCATCAGGGTGGCCACTACAGCTATCTGACTGGCCTTTAGGAGATACCAAGAGATACAAGGAAAACACAGGGGATGTGCACATGGAGAAAGACTATGGAAAGACATGGAAAAAAAGACTGTCATTAAAAATCAAGGACCGGGCTAGGGATAGCTCAGGGAGTAAAGGTACTTGATGCCAAACCTGATGACCTGAGTTGGATTCCTGGTCCCCACATGGTGGAAGGAGAGAACCAAGTTGTTCTCTGGCCTTCATAAGCACAAGTACATACACACACACACACACACACACACACACACACACACACACACACACAAATCAATAAATATAAAGGAAAAACAAGAAGGGATTGGAGTGTAGCTCAATGGTAGAGCGCTTGCCTAGCAAGCTCACAACCCCAGGTTCCTCCTCCAGCACCACCAGAAAAACAGCAACAAACCCGAGAACACATCCACTGGACATTCTAGCCTCCAAACTGTGAGGCTATCCACTGCTGTACCAGCCACCCAGTTTGTGCTATTTCATTGTGGCAATCTAAGCAAACCAACACTCCTACCCACACCCACCCCAGCCTTTCCTCTAATTCCCTAAGTATCAAAAGCTGGCCTTGAACTCCTGATCTTCCTGCCTCATCTCCCAAGTGCTGGGACTCTACTGTGGTCTCACCTCCACCTGTGCTGTATGTTGCACAACTCCAGGGGGGGACATCCAGGCTTCTCGGCCCCTTCCTCCCAGCCAACTTCCCTCTGCTGGGGCCACTCTGGCCCTGTGGAAGTTCCAGATAGGACTCCTGGTATGCCGTATGGCTTTGTCCCCATACTGAAACACTTCTCTCCCACACATCCGGTGGCTCACTTCCTCACCCTGCAGCTTGGTGTTCAAATGTTGTCACTCCCCAAGGGGACTTCCCCCAGTGACTCTATTTAAAATGATAAGGGCCATTTTCTATGCTGGGGAATGCTGTTTCATCCTTGTGTTTTTAATACTTCTCATCTCACACATAGAGTTGTTATGGATTTCGTTGCTTGTATATATGCTGTTTCCATCCCCATCTCCCCTCATGCTTCATACCCTATGACCCCCACACTCCCACTCCCACCCCCACCTCCTTACCTACCCCACTCATACCCCACTCACATCTGTCCCCACCCCCTGCTTGAAAGTCTGTCCCATGAAGACAGGAACTTGGCATCCTCTTGGCTACCTCCTCACACCTAGGGCAGTGCCTGGCCTTTGGTTGAAGTTCAATAAAGCTGACCTTTCATTAATAAAGGAAAAGGTAAAGAAACTGAGTTTCATCTGGGCTGTCTTTAAGACTGGGTGCTTCTTTTCTTGAAAAAAAAAAATAATCTCAGGACCAAATTTATGTGCCGTCTTTGGTAGACATGCCAGGGAATTTATGCCCAGATCAGCTGGTTTCACTTCCTCCATTGTCCGCTTTGTTTCTATTCCTTTTCCTGGGATGGTTTACATTTCTGCTAGCTATCTTACTGTTCTTAAATGTTATTGAACAATGTGGAAAGCATGTGGAGGTTTTCTGGTCTTCTATGGCTCTTTGCTCTCTGGCTGCCAGGGCGAGAGAAAGACACCGTACAAATCCCTAGCCCATCTTGTTAAGTGGACACAGATTTCTCTTGTGTCAGGAGTCCCTGGGGGAATTCTGAAGCTCTACAAATTGTCCCAGGGATCATTAGCTGCAGAGGAGGACCTCACGGTCACAGAAAAGTCATGGAAAAAACAGTGAGGAAGCAGCTGTGTCTCCTTAGCCTGTAATCTGGTGGGCCAAAGTTGAAGAGAGTGCTTTAAAATTTGCCTGCCCTGAAGGGCACGAGGAAGGTTTCTGGGTTAACTGCCCGGGTGCCAGCAAGTGCAGGAACAGGGCCGGCATTGTCCCACAGGCTGGGTCCCTAGAGAACAGCACTGCTCTTTTCTCCACGTGGAAGGTTCCAGAGGGCTGGAAGCAAAGCCACACTGAGCCACCTCACAGACATTAGTAATGTATCCCTCTGCTCCCTCAGAGGTCAGAACCTGGAGGCTGAAGCCGGGGTACTCCGGGACTACAGCTTCCTGTGCCCACAGGCAGTGCTCCAGACTGCCAAGGGGAGTGTGAAGTCAAGCTGGCTGAGGAACAGAGGCTGGAGTCGCTTCTCGAGGCCAGGAGGAGGTCTCTAACTCCAAGCAGCCTCTCCACGAAGAACTTGGCTAGTCTTTTCACGAACTCAGTTCAGCCTCAAGGCCGGGTGAGCATCCAGGTGAGGAATCCTGTGTTTTTCCATCACACTTTCTTGGCCTCTGACTCAAGATGGCCTCAGATGACATCACTTTCCTACCTTCTGCTGCTTCTTTGTCTTATGTTGGCCGGCACTTAGCTTGGCTCCTGAAGACTGGTTGAGTCTGGAAAAAAGATCAAGGGTCTGCAAGGGAGAAATCTGAGCTTCGAGCCTCAGCTCTCTCCACGTCACAGTGTGTCAGGATCAGCTAAGTAGCGGTTCCCACACTGCACCTCTGCTGAAGGTTACCTGTTAAAAAGGAAGCTGCTGGGGCTGCAGGGTGGAGCCTGGTTGGTTTCACATGCGGCTTGGTTTCACATCCTTCACGTCTTATTCGTTTCTATTCCTTTTCTCCATTTCTGTTGTCTATCACAAGTTTTGAAATGCTATGAAGCAATGCTAAAAAGCATGTCTGGGCATTCTGTCCTTCTATGGCTGTTTGCTCTCTGGCTGCTGTGGGGGTGAGAGAAGCATGCAGGAAGCTGTAAGCATGACATGCACACCTATGATCCCAACACTTGAGAGGCTAGATCAGAAGTAGGATAGGACCAGAAATTCAAGGTCATCCTCAGCTACATATCAAATGTGAAGCTACTCTGGGATAGAGACCATTGTTTCAAAAAGAAAGACAGACAGAAAGAAAGAAAGAAAGAAGGAAGGAAGGAAGGAAGGAAGGAAGGAAGGAAGGAAGGAAGGAAGGAAAGAAAGAAAGAAAGAAAGAAAGAAAGAAAGAAAGAAAGAAAGAAAGAAGAAAGGAAAAGAAAAGAAAAGAAAAGAAAAGAATGAATGAATGAATTAAATAAGGCTGCCCACCCTCTAGAGCTGTTTGTTTAGTGGGCCTGGGTAAGCAGCACAAGGACCCTGCATCTTTAACAACTACCGTGGGTGCCTGGATAGAGGCAGGCAAAGATGACACTGTGTGAAATTAGTCTATAGACCTGGCTAACAATACTGATGGTCCCGGACTCTGTGGGATGGAGTGAAAGCAAGATGTAATCAAGCTTCAAATTATAATCTTCTCCTGGGTAGTAAGACGTAATGTGTTACTCACCCCAGCCCGCCCCACCCCACCCCAAGACATGGCTTCTCTGTGTAACAGCCCTGGCTGTCCTAGAACTCACTTTGTAGACCAGGCTGGCCTTGATTGAACTCACAGAGATCCCCCAGCCTCTGCCTCTCCAGTGCTGGGATTAAAGGCGCACACCACCATGCCTGGCTCACAGTGTGTTACTCTTGCACAGCAGAAGTGAGCCACGGCTCTCAGCCAGCCACTTGAGGTCAACAAACACCATGACCTGCAATGTGTTGCCATGCTAGGGTGCTCAGTAGCTTAGGTGTAAAAACACATTTTTTGACTAATAATCTTTAACTTACAATGGGATTCTGAGGCTGTGCCCTATTGTAAATTGAGGTGCCCCAGGACAGGAGTTTGGGTCTCGACCCATGCTTACCGATCCAGAATGCACAGCCCTGAGTATGCTATATTTCACAGAGAACTCTGGCACATAGATAACTGAACTCTACTGCTACAGAAATTACTTTGTTCAGAAAAAACATCCAGCTCAACTTTTGATGTTGATGTCTCCTTCTTGGGCTCTTACCACCACCTGAACATCCATACACGTACCTAACACAGAAACCTTGGGGGGACCCTCCTTGTATAGGGCGCAGGAAGAGGCTAGGTGGATAATGCGCTCACTGTACATTACCGAGCTGAACTGATGAGCTCCAGGATCAGTAAACAAAGTGGAGAGTGATTCAGGAAGACACGACCTCAATCTCCAGCCTAGCCTCTATACACATGTATACTCACTCACATGTGAATATATACATGAATACCCAACATACACAAACACTTCCACAAAACAAAATACCTCATGGTGGCCCAGCTCTAAGAAAGGCCCACAGCTGCCATTAGTATTTTTTTTTTTATCTTAACCATTCTGACAGGGATAAGATGGAATCTCTGAGTCATTTTGAATTGCATTTCCCTGATGGCTAAGGATGTTGAACAATTCTTTAAGTGTATCTCAGTCATTTGAGATTCTTCTGTTGAGAATTCTCTGTTTAGATACATTTTTAATTGAATTATTTGGGCTTTTTTGGTATCAAGTTTCTTGAGTTCTTTAGATATTTTGGATAGAGCCCTCTGTCAGATGTGGGGCTAGTGAAGATATTTTCCCAGTTTGTAGGCTCCCGTTTTGTCCTATTGACAGGGTCCTTTGCCTTACAGAAGCTTTTCAGTTTCATGAGATCCCATGCTGGAGAAGATGTGAGCAAGGGGAACACTCCTCCACTGCTGGTTGGAGTGCAAACTTGTACAGCCACTTTGGAAATCAATATGGCAGTTTCTTAGAAAATTGGGAATCAATCTACCACAAGACCACCACCACCCCAAATCAACCACTCTTGGGCATATACCCAAAGGATGCTCAACCATTCCACAAGAACACTTGCTCAACTCTGTTCACAGAAGGGTTATTTGAAATAGCCAGAACCTGGAAACAACCTAGATGCCCCTCAACTGAAGGGTGGATAAAGAAAATGCAGTACATTTACACAATGGAATATTATTCAGCTGTTAAAAACAATGACATCAGGAAATTTGAGGACAAATGGATAGCACTAAAAAAAAAAATCATCCCAAGTGAGGTAACCCAGACCCAGAAAGACAAACATGGTATGTACTCACTCATAAGTAGATGTTAGCTATAAAGTAAAGGATAAACATGTTACAATCCACAGCCCCAGAAAGGCTAGGTAACAAGGAGGGCCCAAAGGGGAATGCATGGATTTCCCTGGGAAGGGGAAATAGAAGAGATCTCCTTGGTAGACTGGGGTGAGTGGAATGGGAACATGAGGAATCGGCTTGGGGGTGGATGAAGGGGGAGAGTCTTGATATTGGGGGCATTTGGGGGTCAGGTAGAAACCTGGTGCAAGGGGAAAATCTCACAAATCTACAAGGACGACCCCCTGCTAAGACTCATAGCAATACTGGAGAGGATGCCTAAACTGGCCATCTCCTCCAATCAGATCGGTGACTACCCCAAGTGTCATCAGAGAGCCTTCATCCAGTAACTGATGGAAACAGATGCAGAGACCCACAGCAAGCGCTGGACCAAGCTTGGAGAATCCTGTTGAAGAGAGGGAGGAAGAATTGTACAAGCCAGGGAGCGGGGGTGGGGGGGTCAAGGACATCACAAGGGAACTCACAGAAACAACCTGGTCTCACAGGAGCTCACAGAGTCTGAACCAACAGCTAGGAAGCCTGCATAAGACCAGCCCAGACCCTCATGTATGCGTGACAGTTGTGTAGCTTAGTCTACTGGTGGGACTCCTAGCAGTGGGAGCATGTGCTGTCCCTAATCTTTGGCTGGCTTTTAGGAACCTGTTCCTTATACTGGATTGACTTACCAAGCCTTAATACGAGGGGAGGAGCTTAGTCCTACCTCAACTTGATATGCCATGCTTTGTTGACATCCATAAGAGGCCTGCCCGTTATGAAAAGAAACAGAGGAGTGGATTTGAGAGAGGGACAGAAAGGAGGTGGGGGAGGGAATGGGAGGAGAGGAGGGAGGGGAAACTGCGGTTGAGGTGTAAAATAAATGAATAGATTTAATTAAAAAGAGAGAAGGAAGGAAGGAAGGGAGAGAGAGAGAGAGAGAGAGAGAGAGAGAGAGAGAGAGAAGAAAGAAAGAAAGAAAGAAAGAAAGAAAGAAAGAAAGAAAGAAAGAAAGAAAAGAAAGAAAGAAAGAAAGAAAGAAAAGAAAGGCCCACAGCAATGGAAAGTGCATTCCTCATCACTTTGCAGAACTCTCCTCTTCTTTCCTCCACTCAGGGAAGAACCCCAGGTGAAAGTGGCCAGCTGGAGCCCCTCCCAGCTACCCTCCCCCGCCCCCCAGCTACTCTTCCCCGAAGCTGGGGGTCGATCTGCTCTGAGTTAGTCCGGAAGAACCAAGGCATTGGCGGCAGCTGAATATTCGAGTCATCCAGGAGCCACTGTGGTGGGCATGCATCCTGTGCAGCAACATCCTGTCACCAGATGGGCTCCTCCTTGCCAGGTGCCACACTCTGCAGCTGCCTAGGAGAGCGCACTCTGCCAGAGGAGCTGTCTGCACCAGGAGCAGTGATGGAAGCCGCAGGAGCGAGCTCTAGATTAGACGGCATGCGGACAAGCCCACAGGCAAATTATGGCCCATTCAAGTGCAGGATCTGTGGTCACACTTGCCTGTGGCATATCCCACAACTAACACGAGTCAGAGCAGCCTGCCAGACAGCAAGCAGTCTTGCCTTTGAGTACTAGGCTCAGCTGAAATGTGCCTTCTTCTCCAGCACATTTATTCAGCTCACTGTTAGCAAACACTCTTCTTCGGGGCCTTCTCTGTAGCCTAGCTACATGCTCAGATATTGGTCCCTTACTTCCCAGCACCCTTAGCACTCTCCCTACTTCCTCCTCTCCATTGGCACTCTCAAGCAGGTTCTACCCTTCCTATGCCCTGGCTCCTGGTGACACCTGCTCACCGCCCTGTTCCCCGCCCCTCTGGTCTTCCCAATAGGTGCTTTGGAAGCCATGAAAATGACCCCTGCATGCTTTGTGTTTTTCCCTCAGCCCCTGGTCCGGCAGAGAGCCCTGAGACGACACAGCAGAATGACTGGCTTCAGCACCCTCGGGTATCCTCAGATAAAGGACTCTGAGATGTTGGCATGGAGGACGAGGGCTCTTCCATTTCACCTCCTGGCAGAAGTGTGAACAGATCAAATACCAGCACGGTTTCATCACCAATGAATACGCAGGAGGGTGTCCTCAAGTTGGGAGCAGTGGTTCTAGACCGTGAGCCTACTTTACCCTCGTGGGGGATGGGGAGCAGCCATGAAAACAGATGGCAGATGTGGGGCTCACTCCTGTAATCCCAACACTCCAGAGGCTGAGGGAGGAGGATATTTGTGAGTTCAAGGCCAGCCTGGGTTATGTAGCAAGATCTTTTTTTTTAATTTTTTATTGTTATTTTAGCTGAAACTGGTGACATAAGCTTGTGAGCTCAACACTTGAGAGGCAGAGGCAGGGGCATCACTGCAAGCTCCAGACAAGCTTGGACTACACAATGACACTCTGTCTCAAATAAACAAAATGGTATGTGTCCAGGGGTCAGGGTGGGGTCATGGTGAATGAAACACACCTATAAATTCTGTTAGAAAGCTGAGTCAGAGGATCGTAAGTTCAAGGACAATTTGAACTATGTATGGAGACCCTGTCTCCAAAACAGTAACAAAACCCAAACAATAAACAACAGGACCAGAGATCACTGGACCCAGAACTACAGATCCCACAGAGAACCACTAGGTCTAGAATTGGATTCACTAAGCTTCTTACCGGTGGTGGCTGGGTGCTCACACTGCTGGTCTTGGAACCCCACTTTGAGAAACCTGTCTCTAGCTTGCAAGGGTGAGGTCTACTTAAACCCCCAAATTCTATCACTTTGAGGGTCTTCGGAAAGAAAGGTGGCTGGCCGTCTCCACGCTCCCTTCACTATTCAAGTGGGTCACTCAGCTTTCAACTTCAGAGCCCTTTTGTGGCACAGATGCTCATGGCTGTGTTGAGGGTGCCCCCTAGTGGTCCACCTGAAAAACGAACCTGCTCTTTAAGGTATTTTTGCCTTTATCCTTAACAAGGTAAGCCAACCTTCAAACTGTATCAAACAAACCAGGGAACTGGAGGTGATCATCATTGGCAAAGATCCAGTCCAGGTGCAGAGGAGGGGCTAGGGCCCCATTTGATGTGTGCTGGGTCAAATAGGTGGCCTACTGATGATACCATGGCTTTGGAATCTTTGTCCAAACGAGAAGGCTTTAAGACTTACCATGTTTCTTCATTCAAATTTTATAGGTGTTAAAATCAAGACAAGGCTTGTGAGGTGGTTCAGTGGGTAAAAGCCCTTGCCACCAAGCTTGACAACCTGAGTTCAATCCCTGGGACCCACGTAGTGGAAGGAGAGAACTGACTCCCACAAGTTGTCCTCTGACCTCTACACATATGCTGTGGGTTGTACAAGCCCCACCCCACCCCCCAAATTAAATAAATGTAATTTAAAAATCAAGATGGATTCTAAGATCAACTTAAGAAGTAGGAATGAGCGCTAACCTGTACAAGATGTTCCCCGTGAGCTGTGCGTTGTGCTCAGCACTGGACATACATTATGTCCTCTCATAGGCCCATCCGGGGAGATGTGCAGAAATTGCTCTGCTAGAGTCCAGCTTAAAGACCCCAAGCTTAAGAAGCTTGCCTAAGATTGCCCAAAAAACGACTGGCAGAGAAGAGAGGGAGAAGAAAGGAGAGGAGATGAGGGGAAGGGAGGTGAAGGGTAGAAGCATGTGCATTTGCTATAATTTGTTACTGTTATAACACTAACAAATCATAATGAATAATTATGAATAATGAATAATTATATTATTATTACTTGTCATAATTATTCATCACAGTCAACAGATAAAAGCAACCCAAGCACCCATTGCTGGATGACTGGCTAAATAAGAGCTAGTGTTGTATACAGTGGAGTATAAATAAGACCTAGTGTTGCATACAGTGGAGTATGACTCAGCCTTAAGAAGGAAGGAAGTTTGCCAGGTGGTGGTGGTGCACGCCTTTAATCCCAGCACTCGGGAGGCAGAGACAGTCGGATCTCTGTGAGTTCGAGGCCAGCCTGGTCTCCAAAGCGAGTTCCAGGAAAGGCGCAAAGCTACACAGAGAAACCTTGTCTCAGAAAAAAAAAAAAGAAAAGAAAAGAAAGAAAAGAAAATTGAAAAAAAAAAAGGAAAGAAATTCTGCCACATGCTTCCATATGGGTGAACCTTGAGGACATCATGTTAAAAGGAATAAGCCAGACACAGAAGGATAAATACTACTTGGTTCCACTTTCCTAACTACCCAGAGGGATCAAAGGGGAATGGTGGCTGCCTGGGGCTAAGGGGTTAGGTGGATTGAGCAGTTACTGTCGGCAGGTAGGGAGTTTCAGTCAGCAACGAAGAAAGACTTGTAGAGATGGAGGATGATGATGGCTGCATAATTACGTGAATGCACATTTAAAAACAGTTAAACTGTAGACTTTGTTATGGCTATTTCACCATAACCAAATCCATCCATCTACCAATGAGGTTCCCCCAGATCCTTCAGCCTCATTCTAGTGTGCACAATTGAAGGGGCCCCACTGAGAGTGGGGCTTTAAAGATTCAGGGTCCCCCTGAAGGACTACAGGCTGTACAATCTAACCTTCTAATTTCAAGGACTCTAAGACACACAGGTGCACCCAGTGGGAGGAAAAGGGGAACACCCAGCCATTGGCCAACTGCCCCTCCCCATGAGACAGTACCACGTCCTGTTCCTGTTGGGAATAGCATCTCCCAGATCTCCACTAGCTCATTCGCTGGCACAAGAAGTCCTGACACTGTGCCCTGGGGGTGGCAGGGAGCGAAGGGGGTGTAGTGAAGAGCCAGCGCCTAGTCTATGCCTGCCTTGCCTGGCAGCCTCCTCCAACAGTCCTTGGGAGAAGAAGCCATTGTGACCACAGAGGGCAACATTTGAAACATCTCTAATTAAGGAGAGAGACAGAATGGGTCTTCTAGGATGAGAACACACAAGGCAGGAATAAATTACATTTCCATGTTCCTCCCGCTTTACTCCCAAGCCAAACAGACGTTACTTTTATCAAATACTTTGTATGCTGTGACATGCTTTGCCAACTTTCTATTATTAGACAAATCAGGGAAAATCTGAGTTTGATGTCTCTTGGAGTCACCCTGCCCTCCCAGTTTTGCCTGGCTGCGGGAGGGAGGGTGTGTGATGATTTTGGAGGTGACCTTGACCTATCACTAGGAGTCACAGGGAAATGGTAGCCACTAAGGACTCAACTTTGGTGCCAAAACTTCCTAGAAATGGGCTCTTCCCTCCTTTGAAATGGTATCAGGCGCGGCATCACCCCAGATGCCACAGCTGTGGGACAGGAAAAAGCAGGCATTCGAGAATATTTACAACAGTGTCCTCACCCCCACTTCCTGTGAGGGAGGGCTTAGTCTCTGCCAGCTAAATTCTGGTACATTTCTGCAGAATATAGAAACTCGGGAAGGGAGTTTTGAAAGATGCCACTCCGTGGGTGGGATGGCTTGGCAGGGCCACCTAAGGAGCGCTCTCTTCTGAAGGAAGCAGACGAGGTCAGAAGGCCAGAGGGAGGAGAAAGGAGACAAAGCCAGGGGGTGCTCAATTACGGGGTGGTGGGAATTCCGGAGACAGACTCAGGAGGCGGGGTAGATAGCAGACTGTCATTAGGAGGGTTTGCGAAAGAGACGGGCAAAGAGGATTTTTCAGAAATGCCATTGGTGTTATGAATGGAATCCACCCCCCCCCCCACCCCCCCCCCCGGCCCTTTGGTATTTTAAAGAGATTTCAGTAAAGATATAAATTAACTTAAAAACTATGCTTTGCATGGGGAGGGGCTGGTGTTTACTCAAGTCATCCCCGACTACCGGGAGGCTGGAACTGAATAGGAAGGAGTCCCCCTTACCCCCATTTCTCCCTGAACCTCAGCCTGTGCTTTGTATATTTTTAAACTGGTGTCTTGGACCGGGGATGGACCCCCAAGTGTTTTTCCGGTTTCTTTTGACTAAGTAATAGTCATTCTGATGTTGTTGTTTAGTCGTTGGTTTGAGAGAGGGTCTCACTGTATAGCCCAGGTTGGCCTTGACTCCACTATCCTGCTTCAATCTGGCAAGTGCTGGCTCATCACACCTGCCCGGAGAGGGTTTTGTTTTGTTTGTTTGTTTGCGCCAGTATTGAAAATTGAGATGTTGTGTTTTAAAAGCCCATGCTTCCTTTTCTGTTTCTTGTACTGACAACCGGCGGCACCAGGTCCTCCTGCCCACCAGGTCAACACCTAACCCAGCATCTATGACCCCCACACGTGCAGTGGCACGCACACCTGGCTGCATCTGGATTGACATCACCCACCATCTGGTCAGGGCAGACTAAAGACGTCAGACCTGTGTTCCTTCTGGCTGGCAGCAACAAGAAAAGCAGAACAACTGAGAACGAAATCTTCCTGAAAGCATCAGAGGTTATGAAGAGCCACCAGAAAAGGATCTGGGGGATGATGGCACTCAGGGCAGCCAGTTCGGTAGATGGGACATCTACTCCTTCTGGAAAAGACAACTCAGGAAATGAGAAATCAGACGGCAGCTCAACAGCTCAGCATGCCTCCGCGGAGAAAAGCTGGAATACGGTGCCTACCAAATGAGCGAGTGCCTGTAACCTCCAGTCTTGGGCCAGGACCCCCATAGGATGGAACCTTAGGACTGGATGGATTGGAAGCAGATGGGGTTTTGCAAAGCCTCAGCCAACATTCAATTAACTTAATTCATCAAATTAGAATGAGGTGATCCCAGACTGCTATGGCTCCCAGGTGCCTTGCAGAAGCAATGTAAATACTCTCCAGAGAAATATAATAACATCCCATAACATCCAAATAAGCCTCTCATTACTTCTACTAACAATTTTCACATACAACCTCAGCATACATAAAAATAACCAAGGACACATGGAAATAAGACAATATGGAAGTGATTCAGCAGAAACAACTATAATAAAAAAGAAGTCCCAGAGAACTACAGTAATTTGGAGTTAGCAGAAAAGACTTGAGAATAACTATGGTTGGGTTAGTGACACGGCTCAATGGGTAAGGATGCTTCCCACCAAGCCATGATAACTTGGGACCCACGTGGCGTAAGGAGATAACTGACTCCCAAAAGTTGTCCTCTAACTTCCATGTGTGCTTAGCATGTGCCCATGCATACACATAAATACTCATAAAATAAGTAAATGTAAAGAATTTCATATTATGTGTACTAAATGAGATAAAATACATGATAAGAAACAGAGAACTGAAAACCTATAAAAAGATGATAATTTGATAAACTAGCCAAACACTACAAACCTTTAGCTGGGTGTGGTGGCAGAGGTAGATGGGTCTTTGTGATGGTGAGGTCGGCCTGGTCTACACAGCAAGTTCCGTGCCAACAAGGGCTACATAAAGAGACCCTCTCTCAAAAACAACAAACAACAACAACAAAACGAAGTGGTTGGATGTAGGAGCTTGACAGGCAAGCCACAGCTGGAGGGAGGGAGGTGTAGGTCCAAAGAAAACATCAGGATAGACACAGAGTAACAACATGATGGGAAACTGCTACCGAGCAAATAAGACGTGTGAAAGATGAAAGTTGAGATTTCCGAAGGAAGTAAGAGAGAAGAGGGGAGCAGCAACAGTTGAAAAGAAAATGGTTGAGACCCTGCCAACAGTGACTTAAGGCATCAAGTGACACATTCTAAAAGCCCAGAGAGCCAGAGGCAGGGCACATTTTTTTTTTTTAAAGCCACATTCAAGTCCATTACAGTAAAATAGATAAAAGGAAACATAAATTGAAAAGAAGTCACAGATAGCCACCACCGCTTTAACAGACAGAAACAAGGAAAAGTGGAAATGAATGAAACCTAAACAACTCAGGGGACAAAAGAAACTAGCTGTCAACCTCGAAGTCTACACCCAGTGAAAATGACTGTAGCCAGAAGATTCTTGGTCCTGCCCAGTCCCACAGCTGCCATTATTATAATAATCACATAGAGGCTTAATATTACTTACAAACTGTTTGGCCTATAGCTCAGGCTTATCGTTAACTAGCTCTTACAACTTAATTCAACCCATTTCTATTCATCTATGTTTTGCCACGTGGCTTTGTGGCATTACCTGTGTTCTATTATAGCTAAAAGTGGATGCCCAATGTTGCAGAGAAACACTGGGTGACTGTCCAGGTAGCCAGCTCTCTCTGTCTTTTCTTGCATTTTTTCAGAAGTTGCTTGCCTGCATTTCCTGTTTACTCAGGTAATTTTATTTTGCTTCTCAGGTCTTTGATGGGGTTGAAGACTAGATAGTTACAGTTAAGATCATTTCGTATCTTAGCTAAGAGCAGTATTAGGTACTAGATTTAAATTCTTCAGGATGGGACAGCTTTTGAAGTAATCTCTGTAATTTGTCATTTACCTATGATCTGGACATGT